AGCTCTGCCATTTGGCCAGTTCTCAGTCTGCCTCCCTGTCCACTCATTTAACCCACACTTCCTGAGCTTTCCTTTGTGGCAGACACTGTGGAAAGACACCAACTGTCTATGGGGAAAGACACTATTGTCACTGATTGTCATATATATATATATATATATATATATATATATGTCTCCCATATATATTTATTTTATGATTTTAGAGATTTGCTTTTGAAAGTACTTCTTCCTCATTGAAAACTGGAGGTCTGTTCTACAAATACCAAGCACTAATTAGTACTAATTTGTACTAATTATTCCCTCGGCATCACTACATGATTTTGGCTTACTCTTAAGTACAGAAATCGGTTTACATTAAAGCCATTCACAAAATGAGAATGCAGAGGTAAGCATTAAACAATGATTTCAAAAATATTTTTACAACAATATTTTATTCTATTAAATATGAAAGATAATACAGACAGGTGTTATTTCAAGGACATATTACACAAGGATTACACATTCTGTCAGAAGAGCACAATACTGAAACATGTTTGCATTTCAAACTGCTGTTATTAGCTCTCAATGAATGATTCGATTTCTTTTGCAAACAAGTAACAAGAGTGCTATTAAACTTCTGCAAATTCCCACAAAAATATCATGCTTAGTAGGCTAGTTTACATGTAGTAAAGGTGAACTCAGAATCAGATTTTTAAATAACAAGGTGGCTGCTGCTTAATCAAGATAAATGCCACTGAAATAAGAACTGACACCAAATCGGCCATCCATTAAAAAACAATTCTTTGCAGACACAACATTTGAATCTGCTTTTTTATCTGCAGAAATAGTCACTGTGATCAGGCGCATGAGTAATGAGCAGAACTGGTCCTAAGTATTTATAAATGTAACAGTCAATTTTTTTTGAAGCACTGTTTTTCTAGTTCAGAAATATTTCCACAAAACCCATGAATCTACTTGCTTACATTCCAAAAGGTGGAAATCCAACTTTTCAGAGGTGGGTCAGTTAAGCCTAAGCATGACTTCTGTGACTTTTATGGTTATTTCTATAGGGGAGTACTGCATCCTAAATGTGCATTTTGGGTAATCATTGAAGTACCAGACTGAGTTCTCACTGGCTTGTGAGAGCAATATTAGTCTGTGGACCTTCCAATCCACTGACTTTTTAAACTTCAGGAAAAACAGGAATGTACTTTTATTGTAATCAAGCTCTCAGTTGGTCATTTGGAAGATTTTTTCAGATGAAATAGTAAGAATGTAAATTTAAGCATGTAGTTTGAGTTGTGTTCCTAGAAAGTAATTAAGGTGTTTTATTTTAGTATATTAATATCAACATTAATGGAGTGAAACACAGACAAGCTAATGTTCTTGCAGTGTATAGCTTAAATTGCAAAAAGAACAAGAAAAAGCACAATTTCTAAGAATCATAATTTTTTTTGCAACTAAGGACTTTCCTTTTAAAATCACAGAAGTGGAATAGATGTTTTTGATAGCTTTCATAACATTCTGCAAAAATACAGCTTGATTCTGCAAATGGCAGAATATACAAGAACAGTTCCAGAGACTCCAGCAGAAAGACCTCCCAACATTCTCCATGGCAAAGAGATGCAGGATTGTCTTTGCTTTTGTTTTTTGTTTTTTTTTCTCTCTCTTTTTTTTTTTTCCTCTGGAGAACACTGAATAAAAGTGCAATACAGAGTAAATAAGTAAATAAGCCGATTAGTATATTACATTTTTTTCTGAAATTTTGTATTTGTACCTTTGCTGGGGTAGGCTTTCTGTTCTGAGCAGAAACATATTGTGTTAGAAGAGATGGGCAGGGGACACCCTCATTTTTTTCACAGAGCAGATGCCCCAAACCAGTCCTACAGCTAGAAACACTGTACTGCCCAGAGTTTCACACTGCTATTTCTGTTTTTTTGTTTGTTTGTTTGTTTGTTTTTCAAAAGCAGATATTTGTTTTGCTTTTCATTTCCACTCTGATATTTTTTCCTTTTGAGCTTCCAGGCACTCCTCCTTCTCCCACCCAGTGACTCTTTTTCCTGAGGTGTCAGACATTTACCTTAAGCTTTGGAACCTGAGAATTTGGAAGTATCTTTTTTATACTAGAGGGCTGCATTTGTATCTGACAAGGTTATCTCCTAGTATACTATTACAGTTACAATATAGATCTAACCTGATGCCTTTCCCATAGAAATAAAAGACCATTCAAACACTAACATGACACTTGCTCTAAACGTATATTTACCTTCCTCAAGCCCTCTTTTCTAAACAAATTTTGAGGAATAATAATTAAAAAAAAATCAAGTATTAAACATTCCTTAAAGTAAACAATTTCACAGTAAAACAAAGACAAATATATACAGAAAATAGCACTTTCTCAAAATTAAAGCTTATATACATCAGGAAAAAGGTGAGATTTTCCTCATTCTTTTATCAGTTCTACATATCTGTAGATAAGCAACATTATCACTAATAGTTATGAAAATGAAAAACAACTCTACTGTGCTGTATTTAATGCTCTTGAGAGATCAAGGAAATTCAGCACTCAACTTTATCATCACTGTTTTAAATTAAGGTAGCAAACAATTGTATAAACATAACATATTCACCCTGGTTTTGAATATCCAAGGACTAGATCCTTCAGTGGACTCTAAGCAAGCCATGTCATCACAACGGTTATCACCTTAGGTACTTATTTCCATGGATGGACTAGTGGGCTTTTACGTTTTAGGATTTGTTCTACAATTCTTAATGAAGTAAACAGTTTTAATATTTACCACAAATTTTGTGCTATTCTTTAGCAAGAGTAAACTTTACCTGCAGCTGTAATGCGCCTACATACGTATCTAAATTTATTTAGTAAAGTTTCAACATACTAGAAGTGTTTAAAGCATAAAAATTGTATCTGCATTTCATTCTCTTATCATGAAAAGTTGACAATAAATTTCATTTTAATTTTACAGCTTAGACTAAAAAAAACTCTCTTGGACCATTTGTGGTTAACTGTTTTTGGGAGGGGGGGTTGTTTGTTTTTTGTTTTGTTTTTTTTTTCCTGTAGTGTGGGAAATTGCCACTCAGAACTGTTACAAATCTTTAGATGGCTAGCAAGCACTGGTAAACTATTTTCAGCATTCCTACCTGTCAATCAGATTTCTATAATGCAATTAATAATCTACAATTGCATCACAATTTTTAAAAAATCTCGGGGAAAGATAAGAACATTCATTTCTTTTAGTTTTAAATTCCCATGGGCAAAGCTTGGGACATTTTTAGATCACATATATGTTTAGTAATCACAGCAGCAGCAGTCTGGACGCTGGCAGATATATGCCCAAAGATTGAGTATGGAGGATGTGAGCTTTCTTTCTATTTGCGTTTTTTTTTAAATCTACACATGCACATCCCCTTTAACTATTGGGTAACATCAAACTTTGCATGGGAGAAGGAATGGTATTTCAACAGTTTGTATTTTTATCTTTCTGTTTTTTCACACAGAGGTTTAATTCAGGACAATTTCTAAAAGAAAGGATAATTGTACTGAGGTGCTTATCTCTAAATGTAATCACATTCAAGAGAAATATTTTGTTCATATCCAGTAAGTATTCTAGGAATTGTAATTTTTGACAAGGTAGAATAGACTTCCTTTAAAAATTGCTTTCATGCGAGAAGGAGCATTAAATTCGTAAACGTTGAACTTAATGGATAGAAAACAATATCTGACAAGTGCAGACCGGTGAACAAAATGTTATCATTAAATAGGCAGATGAGATCCAACTCAAATACTTTCAGTCTAGTTCTTTAAGGTCATTTATATGCCAGAAAGTGCACATAGACATTTTAAAAATCACTTCTAAATACTTAAGAGCCTAATTACAATTGACCCCTCCCCCCAAAAAAAGAAAGAAGTCTAAACTTTCTGGCAGTCCACTAGGTACCTATCCTCAGCTTTTAGATGAACATAAAAGCTGGCACTTAGTATAGTAACAAGGAATTTTGACAAATCTAATTACCTGTAGACAAACATCACATTTGTGCCATGCAAAGGATCTCTTTAAGAATACCTATTCAGTAATATATTTCTTCAGTTTAAATCATACACAGGCTGAAACTATCTTCTCTCTTAGAAAAGAAGTTTGAGACCAAAAATGTTTGCTGGAGCAGTGTAAGGGAACAGAAGCTCACATTGACCTCCTGTGTTCCTCAGTGGAAAAGGATGATTTAGCCCAAAGCCACACGACTACCCTACAGCATGGTTGCATCATGTTGTTGCATGGATAATAACATTTTAGGACATTTAGGAATAGGCACAGTTTAGAGAATGACTTTCTGCTTAAATTAAAGTTGTAAAATGGCTTTGCATTTCTAGGATCATTTTTTTTGGATGGAGGCGGGTATTCCAGAAAGAGATCAGAGTACAAATGAATGGTCCCTCAACTAGGAAACTAAGCAGTTGTAAAGAGAAAAGTCACTATTGTGATATTTAATTAAAATGGTCAGTTGTGTACTTTTTTTTGTGCTGGCTTTTAAAAACTAAAATATTGCAGCATTTTGAGTCCTTTAAGGATATGCTTTGAGTAACATGATTTATGTTTTACAAAATAAAAAGGGAACATTTACTTTAAAATAAGCCATCTGGCTTGTTTTGGAAGTAAGTTTAGCATAATAGCCAGTAAGATCACTTTTGACTTTGCATTAAATTACAATAAGTTGTCATTTCCATAATGTTTATGTTCCATACCATTTTAATGCCTTACTAGTCATTGAAATATGTCAACTTACAAACATACCTCAAAGTATGCTTTGATTATATACTGATCTAATTAAGTACAGGGTACATAAGAAAAATCTTATGAGTTTTTTTTTACAGGGTACCCAACAAAAATCTGTACAAAATGTAAGATAACTACTCATTCTTTAATGCAATAGACGGAGATGCCACTCTTTTATAAATGTACCCCTATGTTCACTTGCCAATAAAATAATAAACAAATCAATTTTTAAACCATTTTTTAAATAAATTATTCAGAGTATTTTTACGGACACTCTCCAACAATATACAAAATACTACAAGAGTATGAATCAGTCTAACCTACCCCTCATTTCACAGAAAAGTTGAAGCTATGGAAGGATGTTCTTAGAATCAGTCATCACTGTAGAGGTCTCCTGCAAAAGGTAGGTGTACGTGGCTGCCCGTGACATTGGGGAGTCGTGAGAGATCAGGCAGGTTCTGGATGCGTGACCTGAGCTCTTTCCGGACTTGGGACACTCTGGCTAGCTTGCGCTTGTATTCCTGGAACATAGCAGCATTCAACATGAGCTTCATCTTGTAATACCATCCCTCATATTTATTGCACATGACATTTTCTAGATAACATGCTCCTTAAACAAGTTAAATGACTAAGCATTCTCAGGCAAGAATACACAGAACAAAAAAAAATTAGAGACACTGTCTACTGTAGAATTTGCTTATCATTTGACTTTGGTACTGTATACAATCAACATACAAAACATGTATATACAAAACCATACAAAACTGCATCAATAAAAAATCCTTTGATAGTAGAATGCAAATGTTATACAGCTATGGCATGATTCAGATCATTGGACACTCATAAACTCATAAACACAAGTCTGCTACCATAGGTGGCAGAGCAGCCGCCTTCTTGCAACCAAGGGCAGCAAGTTCATCAGGAACACAGAGAAATTTCGACCTTTAATGCGCTGGTAAAACATAGATAAAAATAATTTAAATCTATATATTTAGATATATCTATATTTTATATTTAAATCTAAAATCACCCCTGAATTATTATCAATTTCTCAATATCATTTATATTTAAAATGTGAATATTCTGTACAATTCAGAACTTTATAAGGGAACAAACACACTGAAAATAATATAGATTCATAGTTAGCAGAGCTTTAAACAGTGGTGACTGTGCACAAGTAGTATTCCTTTTATGAAAGAAGAAGAAGAAAAAAGTCTTGCAATTGTCCACTTTGGACTTGCAAAAGTCCATTTTGGCTTGGAAAACAATCACTTGGTCACACTTGCCCAAATCACTGTTACTGGGGCAGATGATATCACAAAATGACTTTGGAAATAAAAGCCCAAAGGTTACAAATACTTTACGCTTTAACTACTAACATTATAGCAGTATCCAGAATCCTCAGGGAGCTGATTCTATGCAAGAGCCATGGTCATGTGCCTGTCAGTATGAAAATTTAGTAACAGAATACTTCATGCCTTTTCCACTATTTATTTTAATCCAGCTTGCAGAAGAATACACCTGACTTATTTCAGGGAATAGATTTTAAAGTAATAGTAAGACAGGTTTAATTTTGCAGTAGGACAATTTGTCAGTATATACAACACTATTTTTGGAGCATGGCTTGCTGGAGATTGAGCAGTGGTCTCCTCAGGCTTATGGCAAGCTTGACGCTAAGAGATTCAGAATCAAAATGCTCAATAAACTCAAAATTAATAATAAAAAAATAAACAAAAGCAGCCCACACTTTAAAATACAGCAGTTATTTCTTATAAATGGTGTCCAAAAAAGCTGAATTCTGACCATGGACATCATCCTCGGTCAATTAGGTATCGTGAAACAGCAAATTGGCATCCCTTCAGAAGTTCAAAGTGAAAGGCTTGGCAAATAAGCACATATTGCATTAGGAGCTAAGTTCTCTCAAGACTTCTCTCCAACACCTCTGAATTGTGCCTTAAATTATATTACCAGCGGTGTGACTTCATCGAAATTCCCTTTTGCCAGTAATAAATCATTTCCATAGCAACATCACATTTCTGAAATCCAGTATTTTCCACATACATTTGATCTGGGTCTTGTTGCTTAGTGAGTATCAGTTTGATCAATATTGCCGAGAGTAAGCACATTTCCTGAATAAGGAGAATGCTCTCATAAATTCAGTCTTCCAAGTACAGCCTCCCTCCTCAGCCAACACCTTTTGCATGATTCATACACTCAGAGATTCTAAAATCTATTGGCATTCCTTGGGCCTTCTTAAGAACAGAAAACTTGGGAAAGGTTGAGTCAAGTTTTTAGCATTACTAAATGACATTAGGTCAAAATGGATGTAAGGTTTTATAATTCACTACATATTATCAATACACCAAAAGCTAGGAAATGCATTTTTTATGAAATTTGCTAGTCCAAAATCTTCTGTTCAAAAGGAGGTTAATTTTCAAAGTGCAGACATTTCAGTTTTGAGATACTTTCACAGGGGACTATTTTCCCCAGTATTAATTTCATGCAAAATTATTGGTTACATCTGAAAGGTTTTGCTTATGCACCTGTAGGGTTGCTAAAATAACTTTGATCACCTAAATAGTCCTGGACTGTTCTAAGACAAGTATCAAGTATTCAGCATAAACAATACCTCCTTTTACTCAGTAAATGTATTGTCAGCATGAATTAAAAATTAGAGCAAGAGACTGGAATGGGAATTTCAGGCTTTATTTCTGATATTGTTAATCAGTCAGAAATGCTAAATACTATACAACTTTTAAGCTACAGAAATCCTTATAGAATTTCAATTTCATTTTCACTATACCGATTTTAACATATTCTTCAAATTCTGCTTGTGTAAATAGAAAAAATCAAGCCATTTACTTAACATAGTCAAGGAAAGGCAAAAGTATGTTTTGTTTTGTCACATTAGGCAGCATCGGGTCACTTGCTACCTATCATCTCACTCTTGGGATAAATGCAGGATGATGTATGGAATTAAAAGTCTTCTCAATTTCTTCAGGGATCTAGCATAACCCTATTTCAAGTGACAGCTTTTGGTTCTTCCAGTCATAAAGTAGGCTTATGAGACAGTCAGAACAATTCATTTTGTGAATTTTAATGCCACTAATTACTCAAGTTTCCAGTATTTTGACAGCATACAATAGGGAGTTTCTGTGAAAGTAATGTCAGCAATCTATTGCTTCCCCTTCCAAACCTAGACCAAAAGTATTTTCCTTTCAATTAACACAGTTTGAAATAGATTTTAATAGAGTTCCTGTAATTACCTCAAGTATATGCTGTAGCTAAAGCAACATGCACTTTAATGGATATGCTTTCTCCTTTGGAGCATTAAAACTACTTTGAACCTTTATGTGAGCTACAAGGACCCAGCATGCCTCAAAATACTGTGTGGCAGAAAATATATAGCAAAGGGAAGAAGCATATATGTCTGATTCCAAAGAGAGAATAAAAAGTCACAGAAACACAAAAATATTTAATCTCGATCCTTGTTAGCTTTAGAAAGGTGAAGAGAAAAATCAATACACAAAAGCAAGCAAACAACTTCTTTGTGCGTCAGTTTTTTTTTTTTTTTTTTTTTTTTGGGGGGGGGGGGTAGGTACACAAGCATCCATGGCTTGTAGGTACATCAGGTTTGAAACTGAAATCCGTGTTTTTATAAGTCAGTTCCAACCTTCTGACATTGGGTGCCGAAGTAGGTGTCCCTTCACAGCACACAGGCTTCTTATCAGCTGTGTGCAACAGCCCTGAAACTGCTAGAAATCTTGAAGGCTTCAGATGAAGGCAAGGAACATGTGAAATTTTGATATATAGATTTTCAAGTTTCCAAAACATTATATTTATTTATAAACTCCACCTTACTAAAACATAATACATTGCTCTGTCTGGGAAGTTTTCTGCCAGAAAAAGTGACACCTGGATGAGCAAAAGCTTGAAATGGCTTAGTGTCTAACACACTAAACAGATTCTAAATACATCTATATGCATCCTGTACAAACATGCATATAAAAGCTGGAGAAATAAGGACACTTTTGATAGGTTTAGGAAAGGTGTGGCTTGGATAGGTTAGTTTTGTCCGTTCTCCTGAAAATATACTTTTGGTAAGAAGCTTCAGGTTTCCAGTACATAATCATATCACTTTTCCATTAGGCCTTACTATACTTGGCAAAAAAAAAGACAGTGCTGAAAGAATGAGCTATTCTGTTTTTCCTTATTGTTCTATACCTTTACCCATACATTGTTTATTGTAACATCTTATTTAAATTCTGCTCTGTACAAAGATTTACTGATATCTTCACAGATTTTCTAGAGGTATATTTCACCATAACAAAACAAATTATTTGGAAAACGTCTTTGAGTTGGGGGGAGAGATCAAAATCAAAAGCATGCATTAGTTCTGAGGATCTGGCTTTCCATAGTACATAAAATTATAAATAACTTACTATTTCAAACCATACTTTATTGAGTTAAATTATAGACTCCTCCACACATCTGTAAATGAAGCCATTAGGAAGCAATGAACTCAGAAGCATGCAACCCACATAAAAACTGCTGACCACCTGAGGAAACCTTGACTAAATGACTTTGTCTAACATCAGCAAGTATGCTGTGGTATCAACAGAAATAAACTGGGCATCTTCAGGTGGTAAACTCCTGTGTGCACTGATAGTAAATAGGAATAAAAGATTTTAGCAGGGCATTGCCTGGGTATTTTAGGACATCAGAAAGTTGAGTATCAGAAATGTGAAATCCTTCACAGTGGTAACAAACTGTTCTCCTCATTCTTTGAAAATACAACTAATTTGCCCAGCCTCCTCCAGCCTAAACCTGGGTCTCAAAAGCTTACTTGCCTCAGTCTTGACTCCTGGTCTCTGCCTTCATTCCTCAAATACTGTTCCCTAGACTCAATCTCTTCACCCCCTGCAAGCCCATACAATGCCTCTCAGACTTCCTGCCACATCTCTGTTTGCATCCAGTACACATATTCACAAGTTTTTTGTTGTTGTTGTTGTTTTTTTTCTCCCCAACAGGAGAGCCATTTCTGGCTCTGCAACTAAATTCCTCCCTCTCCAATCTTGATCTCCACTTACCACTTTGTCTATAGTTTTGGCTGCGTCTGGTTTCAGCTCCACCTACTTCTTCCCAAACCACTCAGCCACTCCCTGTCCACTGGCTATAAAGCATGAGATTTCTCTCTCACCTCCTACTTCATGTTCTCTTGGTTTCAATCTGTGCCCAAAGAAATTCCAGCTCCTCCATTTCGATTCAGCAATCTCTTTGGGCCTGTCACTTTTTTCAAATCTCCTTGGCCAGCTGATCTCTTTTCCTACTATGCCCAAGCTCTGCCCCATCTACTTTAAGGTCTACTATCCTAGATTCCTTAC